GTAATGTAATGTAATGTAATGTAATGTAATGTAATGTAATGTAATGTAATGTAATGTAATGTAATGTAATGTATGTATGTATGTATGTATGTATGTATGTATGTATGTACTGCATGTATGTATGTATGTATGTAATATAATGTAATATAATGTAATGTAATGTAATGTAATGGTATGGTATGGTATGTATGTATGTATGTATGTATGCATGTAATATGTATGTATGTATGTATGGTATGGTATTGCATGGTAATGGCATGGTAATGGTATGGTATGGTAATGTATTGTAATGTAATGTAATGTAATGTATGTATTTACGTATGTATGTAATGTATGCAATGAATGTATGTAATGTATGTATGTATGTATGTAGTGTAGTGTAGTGTAGTTTAGTGTAGTGTAGTGTAGTGTAGTGTAATGTAATGTAATGTAATGTATGTAATATAATGTTATGCAATGTAATGTAATGTAATGTAATGTAATGTAATGTAATGTAGTGAAATGGAATGGAATGTAACGGATTGTAATGTAATGCAATGCAATGCAATGCAATGTAATGTAATGTAATGTAATGGAATGTAATGTAATGTAATGTATGTAATGTATGTATGTATGTATGTATGTATGTATGTAATGTAATGTATGTATGTATGTATGTATGTATGTATGTATGTATGTATGTATGTATGTATGTATCAATGTAATGTAATGTAATGTAATGTAATGTAATGTAATGTAATGCAATGTAATGTAATGTATGTATGTATGTAATGTAATGTAAGTATGTAATGTATGTATGTAATGTATGTAATGTAGTGTGTGTATGTATGTAGTGTAGTGTAGTGTAGTGTATGTATGTATGTAATGTATGTATGTAATGTATGTATGTATGTATGTATGTATGTAATGTATGTATGTATGTATGTAATGTAATGTAATGTAATGTAATGTAATGTAATGTATGTATGTAATGTATGTATGTATGTATGTATGTATGTATGTATGTATGTATGTATGTATGTATGTATGTATGTATGTATGTATGTATGTATGTATGTATGTATGTATGTATGTATGTATGTATGTATGTATGTATGTATGTATGTATGTATGTATGTATGTATGTATGTATGTATGTATGTATGTATGTATGTATGTATGTATGTATGTATGTATGTATGTATGTATGTATGTATGTATGTATGTATGTATGTATGTAATGTAATGTATGTAATGTATGTATGTAATGTATGTATGTATGTATGTATGTATGTATGTATGTATGTATGTATGTATGTATGTATGTATGTATGTATGTATGTATGTATGTATGTATGTATGTATGTATGTATGTATGTATGTATGTATGTATGTATGTATGTATGTATGTATGTAATGTATGTATGTATGTATGTAATGTATGTATGTATGTATGTATGTATGTATGTATGTATGTATGTATGTATGTATGTATGTATGTATGTATGTATGTATGTATGTATGTATGTATGTATGTATGTATGTATGTATGTATGTATGTATGTATGTATGTATGTAATGTATGTATGTAATGTATGTATGTAATGTAATGTAATGTAATGTAATGTAATGTAATGTAATGTAATGTAATGTAATGTAATGTAATGTAATGTATGTATGTATGTATGTATGTATGTATGTTATGTATGTATGTAATGTATGTATGTAATGTAATGTAATGTAATGTAATGTAATGTAAAGTAATGTAATGTAATGTAATGTATGTATGTATGTATGTAAGTATGTATGTATGTATGTATGTATTTATGTTATGTATGTTATGTTATGTATGTATGTATGTTATGTATGTATGTATGTATGTATGTATGTATGTACGTATGTATGTATGTATGTATGTAATGTATGTATGTATCTATGTATGTATGTATGTATGTATGTATGTATGTAATGTATGTATGTATGTATGTATGGTAATGTAATGCAATGCAACGCAACGCAATGTAATGTAATGTAATGTACGTACGCACGTATGTATGTATGTATGTATGTGTTCATATATATATATATATGTGCACATCCTTATTGCATCCATGTGACACTCTGACTGAACGTGCTGTGAGCAAAGAGGGGCGCAGGAGTGCTGTCAGGTGTGGCAAGCCTTTTTGGGCGCAACAGTCCCGCACAAGGCTTTTGTGCCTTGTGGCGCCTTGCGCATTGTCAGCACCTGGTATTTATTGTCAAGCAGGCCACCACTTTGGGTTATGCGGGCCGTTTTTCCAAATGGGCACTGACTTGATTCGAGTTGTCACAGTACAGTCTTTACGTGTCTTTTGGGCTGTGGCTTTTCGCATCCTCTGCATCACCAGGTCCTCGTGCTCTTTGTATTATTATTTTTTGCATGTATGATGTATGTATGTAGTCTATGTAATCTATGCATGCATGTAGATATTTTTGCACTCCTATTTGAATCATCCCCCTCATTGAATCATCACTTCGTCGAACATCATGAAGGGGGTGTGGAAAACGATGATTGGGATGTTGACGGGCTACAGTAAAATACGTAAATTTTGCTGAGAAATTTTGTAAACCACGACATTTTGCTGGCCAAGACGAAGGACGAATAAAATCCCCCCCAATAACAAATCGAACACATAACAAAAACAAATCCGCATTCGTTCTGATATCGTCAGAAGCTGCTATTTGGAACGGCTCCATTCTGCCCTTGCCTGTTCCATGGGCGCCCAACCTGAAACACGGCAGTTGTTTCATGTGCGTGACAAAGTTCAAACAACCCTCAACCTTCAGCTTCGGGGTGAAGGCAAGGGTCAACCGCCACACCCTCGTGCAACTGGGTGTGGATGGCACAATACGCAAACGTGCCATCATTCTTTGCAGCAATGCTTGTGACACTTCAAGAATTATGACAGGCTCGGTTCTCAAAGGCTACTAGTTGCGTAACTCGTTCATATATGATTGAACAGTTGCAGAACCACCATTTTGCAGTATTCGAATGTTTAGCAGAAGACACTGACAACGGAAAACGAAATTGTTTGGCAGGCTCGTGTTCTGCATGATGCGCAAAGCACTGACAGCATCAGCAACAGTTCGTAGCAAGCTGAAGCACTACAGCGTTGCTTTTCATGGCATGCGATGTACTGAAGGTGCTTGACTTTTTGTGGCCGGTCTTCACAACATCCAGATGCAGTTGGGGCAGAGAGCGTTCTTTTCAGTCACCTGGGGTTGCAGGGCGGCAGTGTTCTCGCAGTTCTCTATGTAGCGTTGAGTAAAGACGTCCTGAGAACTGCAACATTGGTGTCTGGGAGAGCAATGAGTTGACATAATCATGGATACCATCGATCGAACGTCAACATCGCCAGGAAACCACGCATGAACACGCCGTGAATGTCTTGATTTTGAGATGATTCACATGCACCTGGTGCGTGGCAGACTTTGGTCTGGTGGGGGATGCTGATTGCAACCTGATTCTTTTCGTGCTATAAAACTCAGCGGTCAGCCAAGGTCACCTTTGTGCATCTCTTGTTGGGCATGACCACCAGCTGGCGCCGCACTCGAAAACGCTAGCGCAATTGTTCGCAACAGGGAAGACCACGCTGGCAGAGGCAATGTGGCAATGCGTCATGCCTCCTGCAACTTCACTACTTTCATGGGCGTGTGGGTGCAAGGGTGAGTGAATCAAATCTTCTGGCACTCGTGACAGTGTGTGGGGACTGTCATTTAATATTGAGACAAACTGCTTTGAAGAGATCGTCTGCTCTTCCAGGTGCTTCATGAGCTTCATCATGTTCTGCATCAAGCAGAGACTCGCTTGCATTTCAGCGCCTCAATTTGCCCGCCACAAAACCAGGCCCCCGGTCCCCGACCGCGGGCCTGGCAATGAATTTTGAACGAGTCATGCATGAATCATGCGAGCCAGGTCCGTGATGGTGGTGGACCACCAGTGGTGCGCTGGCAGCAAAGGAATCCAGAATAAAGCAGAGCCCACAATTGAACTTGTTGAGCAATTGGTTTGCACGATGGCACCAAATGGAGTGCGGTACGACTCATTTCTCAGGGGAGCATAGAGCTTGCACTTTCGAGCGCCGAAGCCAAGAGTCAACCTTTGTCTTCGATTGGGGTTTTGAGACATTGGAAATACGACTTTGCGCAAAGTTACCTTTCCGCTGAGGTTGATGCTCATCTTCGTGGTCAGCGCCATCTGCATCGGTGCCATGTTCATGATGGTCCGCTGGGGGAGGGGCGCTTTCATGTATATTCAAGAGAACTGTGCGCACTTGCCTCAAGGACGCCCCAAGAAGCGCTGGCATGCGTTGGACCTCATGTGAACCTTTAAAATGGGATAGGGATGTATGTATGAAATGCTGTGAAGGGCAGCCAGATGCAGACAGGAATGAGTAAAGCGGCGCGCCGCCAGGGCTACATGGCCGAATGGCGCATGCTGCAGAAGAACCAGCTGGACGAGCTCATCGTGCCTCGTGCATGTCAAGAGCATGTTTGGGGCAGAGGTGTGGTTGCCCCCGAAGTGACATAAATTGGCTGGCCCGCTCTCTGCCGCACTCAAAAAAGGGTTACGAGGGCCGAAGGCTTGCGGCCTCTTTTTCGGTGGAAAGACGACGCAGTCATGGCCGCGTCTTTTGTGCTGAACCGTACGTTAGGAACCAAAGTTTTGGACCGGCATGCGATTTGAAGGCAAGACGCAGCTAATCCTGTCTCGTGTTGTCTTGCACTTGGATGCACTAGCTATCAAAGATGGCTCCAATGTGTTGCTCATGGGAGATGTTCAAAAGGAGAGAGGGAGCGAGATTTGGAATACCCCGGCTGTTGATGCAAGGTGGTTTGCGGCGTTGCAACAGGCCAGGGGCTCGGCGGCGCAGTTGATTTGTTTGGTGGGCTCGAAATGGCACACGAGCAGCAGGGCATCATCTGAGTTGCTTGTCTGTTGCATATTGTTTTGACGACTGCCACGCTCTTGACGCATTGAAGGGGGCCTGTGGCTCAATAGGTCATGAGCCGTTGATATCGGCCTGCCAGCGATGGGCAATGGGAATGCTCTAAGAGAGCTGTTCCACCCCGGCCCGCTGCTGCGAGCGCTGCAATGCAAGAAGAGCAACAGGTTAGCAGTGCTCGATGGGGTGCGGAGCCTAGCTTTGCTTTGGGTCCTGCAGTTGCACGCCTGGGGTCACATCACACGATTCCGCAACTGCGAGAGACTGGATGAGATCCACACCCAGTGGTGGTCGCAGTTCCTGGTCACAGGAAGTCTCGGGGTCCACATGTTCTTTGTGCTCAGCGGGCTTCTCATCGCTAAGAGCTATTTGAGGCTGAAGGCCTTCAGAGATGCATCGAGTTCCTTTCTGTCGGGATATGTGCGGTTTCTGCTTCGTCGCTTCTTCCGCATTTGGCCCATGGTCATCCTGGCCGTGATTTCGCTGTTGATAAGGGAGAAGGATGCATGGCGGGATGGAAGTGGATGGGCCTATGTGTTCTTGGTGCCCAACTTGGCTTTGCAGTGTTTAACCGGAGACTGGGCTATGCTAGGCCACCTGTGGACTATTGGCGCGGAAATGCAGATGTACATCCTGACACCATTGGTTTGTGAGCTCCTGAGCCGTCGTCCCGGGTTGCTACTGGGCCTGGGATCGCTGTGCTGCGTCTTGCTGCGAGCTTTCTGGATCTATGGTCCTTTCCATCAGAGCTGGGAGCAGGCGCGAAAGTGGCCCTTCCCCTTCTTCTACTATGACCCATTGTCCAACATCTCTGCATACCTCAGTGGCATGGCTTTGTGTCTTGCACTGGAGGACAGGCAAGAGAGGATGCCGCCCATTCGGAGGACCGTGCTGGACCTGTTGGCTTTGGCTGGCATGCTTGGCTCTGCATTCTGCGGGGTTTGGCACTGCGGGGGTGCCTATGTTGACACAGACCTGAGAGATTTGGGTCAAATGGTGATACCGCCCATCTTTGGATGGTGTGTGGCCCGAGGCATTTTTTGCACTGTTGTGTCAGAGAGCTACGACCCTTGGAGCTTGGCGAGTCTCATCCTCAGCTCTAAGGTATCTTGGAGGCACCTGTTCATTTGATTCATATGCCTGATGAGGACGAACACCAGTGAGGGGCCCATCCCCAAAAAATCTCAAAATCAAGTTTAGCCAGCATCCCCAGCCATCAGACTCTTAGCGGTGTGACACGGTCAGTGGCCCACCGACAGGGCAAGCCCGGGCAAATGAATTCCCGGTGGAAGTATAGAGCAACATAGTAAAGCAGCATCCCTAGCTAAGACGCCTTCCGGGAGCCTTCCCTTCCCAAAGTGAAGGATTCCTTCTCAGATGGGACACCGCCAAAGAATAGGCCAAGGGTGCGGGAATAACGTGTTTCAACCACACATCGTCTCCAGTATCTTGCTCTGGTGATATATATTTTTTGCCAAAGTGAAGAAGCTGATGGACATGGTCAGGTATGGGAGAGTATTGCCTTGCTGTCCTACGCAGCCTATGTCATGCAGCTGTGGCCTGTGTACGCCCTGCAAGACCTGCGCACTCTTTGGGACTGCGAGGTCTACGAGGGCTTGGCAAGTGCGTTGGGTGCGCACTTTGCCACTTACTTCTTGTTTGTTTTCGGGTGCCTGCTGGTAGCGGTGCCTTGTCACCTTCTGTTGGAGATGCCAGGCGGGGGGTTAGCAAACAAAAGGCGGCAAGTGAAAAAAGGCCCATGGAATCGCCAGTTGTATGTTATGCAGGGAACCAGCGGAAGACTTTATGGTCGATGTGCCAGGAAACATGCACCGCATCTGATTTGTTGATCTTGGAGGCCTGGCCCCCCTCATTTTCAGTTGGACATGTTCATTGCAGAATCCCCGACAAGGCATACGTCTTGGCCGCCATCTTGAGGCAAGATTTTGGCCAGGCCAAGAGGCCTGGGCTGCTTCGCGGGAATGGCAACATGCGTGGGACTGGAAACGGGGCTGTCGTTTGAACTGCTTGGTGTGGAGTGCCTTGTGTCCAAGCTCAGTGGTTTCCGTACAGTTGGATGTCTGCGTATAGGCCCTGTACTCCTTTGGCGTGTCTCCCTAACTTAGACATGGGCGTCTTTGCCGGCATGGACCCCAACCAGCAATTGCGAGCATCAGCTTGTTTCAATTGGGCCACACATTGCCAACAAGACTCGCTGCCAAGTCAAGGGCAGCGTCTCTCATGAACATGAATGCGCAAAGAACTCGGAACAGCCAACTGGGTAACCTACTGCTTTGTTTTCCATGCGCTGGATCGGCAGAAGCGTGAATAAGTGTCATGGAAAACAACAAGTGCAAGCGCTGCAAGCGGTTTGCGGCAGCTATACGCCGTCCTTTCTCGCACACTACCAGGCCACATGAAAGCATTTTGCTGAGGAAGACAAATATAAACAGCCCTCCGCAAAGCGCAACTCCAGCTCCAAGACTTAGACGGAAGCTCACGGCCTGGATGTTCGATGTCAAGGTAGGTGAAATATAGCCCGCAGAATCCGCATCGCGCTTTCTCCGAGTGTAAGATGCGTTGAACAGCTGCGAGCATGTGCTGCGGAATGCTGCGACAATATTGGAATCCGCGCTGCGAATATAGATGCTTTGCGACTTTGCGAAGTCAGCAGGCGCAAGCAGGGAGACAAGTGGGGAGACAAGTGGGGAGGCACGCCGTGACAAGGTCCGAGTCAAGTTGAGAAGCGCGAGCGGGGAGACAAGTGGGGAGGCAAGCGAGGATACCACAGATTTACCAGGGCAAACTATCTAAATTATTTGCATGAGTAGATAGTTGAAACTGGAATTCAAGTAGAAGCAGAACACGCTTGCGAACATTGCGCGCGTTCCCCGCAGCAATCCGCACGCGCGCGCACACTCCAACACAACTTCAGCCAAACGCACGCGCGCACGCCCACGCCCATATTTCCTCCTTTGAGCCGCTTGAGTGTGCTTTCCTGGATACGATCCCAATCCCCGCTGCGGTTGACAACCTCCCGAATTGGCAGAGGCTGATCCGACCTGACGAATTCGCCACGCGGAGCGATTTCCCGTTTGCCTGGAAACGCGCACGCCCACGCGCGCGCATACGCGCACACACACGCACACGCACATGCACGCGCAAGCGCGCGCACGCACAAAGTGCACGAATGCGCGCAGGCGCACGCCCGCGCGCGCACGCACAGGCACACGCACGCGCAAGTGCCCGCGGTAATGCCCACACATTCAAGCACACAAACACGCAAACACACACACACACAAACAAACACACAGAGACGCAAACACACAAACACACAATCAGACAAACAAACACACGCACACACACACACACACAAATACACAAACACACACACAAACACAAAACACACGCACACACACACACAAACGCGCACACACACACAGGCACACACACCCAAACACCCACACACACACACACAAACACACAAGCACAAGCACAAACATACAGACAAACACAAACGAAAACACACACGCACACAACCACACACACAGAAAGACACGGACAGGCTCAGACCGCACAGATGCACACGCAACCACAAAGAGGCGCGCGCACACACACACACACATATACGCACACGTACAGACCCGCACGCGCACGCCTACGCTCACACCCACACACACACACACACACAAACACGCAAGCCCACGCCCACGCACACGCAAATGCACACCCAAGCACACGCAAACGCGCACACCCAAGCACGCCACAAACGCACACAAACCTGCATCCATGAAGTCTTTGATTATGAAGCAAAGTCATTGAACACCTTTGAAGGGTGCGTCAAAGTGCAGTCCAAACAAGTTGCAAAATCTTTGAAAGGATATCTCAGGATATCTTGCAAAATCATGCAAATCCAACACATTCCGACAATGCTTGTGCCATGAAATCTTGGAAAATCTTACAAGATCGTAGAATGCTCAAGCATATTCACCAAAAGACATTCCAAAGTTATATTCTTCACAAATTATATCCAAATTTATTTGTTTAGAACTGTATCCAACAGTTACATTCAAACTGTATATTCAAAATTCATACACACAAGTTATATTGAACAATCATATTGCAACTTCTATTCAAAAATGATATTCGGTTTTTGTACAAACACGCGCGCACACGCGCAACTGCACACTCACGCGCAAACGCACACGCACACGCACGCCCAAAACGCAAACGCACACGCAAACGCGCGTGCCCACGCACACGCAAACGCGCACGCCCACGCCCGCGCACACGCAAACGCACACACCCGCGCGCATGCAAACGCACACCAAACGCACACGCACATGCGCGCGCAAGCGGACATGCACACGCGCAAGCCCACGCCCACACACACACACACCCACCCACCCACCCACGCCCGCCCGCCCGCCCGCGCGCGCGCGCACGCACGCACGAGCAAACGCACACACACCCGGGCACACGCAAACGCACACGAAACGCACACGCACATGCGCGTGCAAGCGGACATGCACACGCGCACGACCACGCACGCAAACGCACACACCCGGGCACGCAAACGCAGACGAAACGCACACGCACATGCAAGCGGACATGCACACGCGCACGCCCACGCCCACGCACACGCAAACGCACACACCCGGGCACACGCAAACGCACACGAAACGCACACGCACATGCGCGTGCAAGCGGACATGCACACGCGCACGCCCACGCCCACGCACACGCAAACGCACACACAGCTGGGCACACGCAAACGCACACGAAACGCACACGCACATGCGCGTGCAAGCGGACATGCACATGCGCACGCCCACGCACACGCAAACGCACACACCCGGGCATATGCAAACGCAGACGAAACGCACACGCACATGCGCGTGCAAGCGGAAATGCACACGCGCACGCCCACGCCCACGCACATGCAAACGCACACACCCGGGCACACGCACACGCGCGTGCAAACGGACATGCGCACGCTCTCGCACCTGATGGGGGGGGGGGGTGCACTCACGATCCGGGAAAGAAACTTGAAGCCGCGGCTTTGAGGCGAGGCCTTGTGCTGATTTGGGACCTGCAGCGCCGAATGCGGGCGGATGCGGTGACCAGGAGCTCGCGCTGTGAGCGGTGAGCGCAGCCAGGCAAGTAGCTGAGCCAACGGGCCAACGGGCGAGTTAGAGCCAAAGATGCCGTCGCAAGACGAGGCATTTTCAAGCACCTGAATCCTTGACTTCTTTGGCTTGTGGTTTGCTCGCTTTGCAAGAGAAGTAGTGTGGCCCCGGCTCAAAGCAGCTGGACAGCGCGTAGGACTCGGAAAAAGGTCGAATGCTTTCACCTTTGAGGCAGCATAGAGATATTCTTTAGGTGTTGGGCTGCAACCCTGGTGGTTCTCAATGGAAGATGTCAGTGTCAATAACCATCTTGTCCAGCTGGCTTCGGTGCCAACCTGCCAGGCCTGGCATGGGAGAAGTCTTTTGCGTGGGCGACCCGCGAGGCGCGTTCGAGATCGTTTGCTCCGAGATGTGCCTTCCTCGCGTTTCGTTGTCCATCCCATGTTCTGTTTTGGCGGGACCCGTGGCCGGGTGCTCCTGTTTCTGACAGCGCTTTAAGCACTGGTGGCTTGGGCAGGTGATCATTGAGGATGGCATGCAGCGCTGGCCTCAGACGACAGGAAGGTTATCAGAGAAGTTTTTTTTTTGGGGGGGGGGTTGGGGGGTTTCAGTTCACGTAGAAGATGCAGACCATGGCACATAAGAGGCTCGGCAACCGCGCATGAGAACCGCGCTCCAAAGGTTCAACAAGAACACCATCGGGGCCATCAGCGCACCCGCCGGGCTTAGCTTCTCCACAGCTGCCCATTGGCGGGGATGGCCCATTGGCGTTTCAGTCGAAGCCCGTGTCCTGAATGACTTGGGCTGGACTGGAGTGAGCTCTGAAAGCAAGACAGCGTAGGCACGACTGCAGCGCCGGCTTGTTGGGTGTGAGGAGAGTTGGAGGCTAGCTGCGGTTGCTGGTTTGAGCTCGCTGTTGGTCCCCAGCTAATGTACCAGCCCTTGCTGTTGACTTGGTAGGGGATAGAGCAATCGCCGTGCGAGTGTCCTAGACAAGAGGCTTGTCTTACAGGAATTGTCAAGTCCTCTAATGAAATCCCACAACGAAGGCGAAACCACACATTTTGCCAGCGGTTTGGCAATTGTTTGAGGAGAAGGATCCTTGAAGAGTGGGAAGGTGCAGCTAGAATGACCATCTATCTATCTAGGTTCAAGACAAACACAGCCAGATCTTCCCTTGTTCCAAGTTGCAGGGAAAATTCCGCACTTGAGCAGTGCCCAAAACCCTTGTTGGCGAAAATTTACCAAGGGGTTCTACTTCGCTTCAATATGGGTAGTGAGATCGTACTCGAATACTCGAACCAGTCACAAGGCTTGCGGAGAGCTGTAGATTGGCCAGGCCTCGGCTCCCCGGCGCTGGCCAACCTCACGCGCCAGCTGCGCCTCGGGGAAAGTTTTCCGGAAAGCTTTGCTTTGGGTCCTTTTCAAACGTCACCTTGTTGGAGCTCTGTTTGCTCCAAGCCGCTTTCCCTTTTGCCTTATGATTTGGGCTTTCAAGACAAACTCCACCGTAATTCACTGTTGATATGCCTCAAATCCGAGTCTCTGCATGACTATGCTTTTCGGCTCAGATTTGTGCACAGAGGACGGCGATTGAAAAAGATGCCTTGCACACTTATAGGGGGATGCCCTGAACAGAGCTGCAATGCGCTGCTGCATTTTGGGGAGACTTCCTGCAAAGTTGATAGGGGACACTGTACCTTGTGAAAGTACATTTTGATGTTGGGCGAATGACAACCTCAATTTGGTTGCTTTACTTTGCCTCGAAGCTGCTTTTGCGGACAGCTTTTAGCTTGATTTCAATTTGGCTACCTTTGCTTCGCCTTCAACACCTTTTCCGGTATTTGACGCAACATGATTCCTTTTTCGTTGAACAAGCTCTCACAATTTTCAGGCCCTGAAACAGTTACTATTCAGGTCCAGGAAGTTGGGGGGGGGGGGAAGCACATGCCTGCCCGATTGTTTGACTTTCCAGTAAATGGCTGTGAGCTTCGGAGTGTGCTTTGACGTGATTTGGCTGACTGCATTGACTGACCGTTTGGATGTTTTGGAGTTTGAAGAACTGCGTGCTTTTTCTCCGTGTTTTGTTGTTGCCGGTCTCCATAAACAGACACCTGGAACCATATTTAGGGGAACAACTTTCCAGTACTCTGAGCCCATGATCAAGGGAGGGGCCAACATGATTCGTGATTACGGCGGGAATATCCACAGTGTTCTTCGGGGGCAGGGGGACATTCATTTCTGGAGGTGGGGATATTCTTTTTGGGATGTTGATATATTGTGGGAAGAGGGTTTTCAACATATTTCCGGCCAGAGCGGATACGGGGAATTCATGTTCGGGTGATAGTATGTTCCTGGGGGAAAGATTCATAGCAGGTTCGGGGGGCAGGAGGTTCTGCCAAATATTCGAAGCTGTGCACGATTCAGGAGTGATGTCAGAGGAGTTCCTTCTGATTGTTTCAAGTAACCCTCAATCCTTGCCATCCACATTCAGGGAGTCGGCAAGCAATTCAATATGCCTCGCGCTTTCAAGACTATTCGAGGGGTAGGGCATGATCCAGCCGTGATGTTAGCGATGCTTCTTGCTCAGAGCCCCCTGATTTGGTTCAGTTTTTCATCCGTTTCAATCCGCTCCCCGGCTGTGGATACAGTCTCCTTAACGAACCCGTCCATCCAAGGAGGTAAGTGGTAGCGGGAAACCAAGAGCCCCTTGAATTGCCGGGAACTTTGGGAGAGACGTCAACGTTTATGGTGACGTTGAGACTGAGAGGGTTACCTTATGGCATCGGTTTGCCCTCCATTTGGAAGGGGTCCGTGGCTTTTGAAGAGGGGACACTTGCTTCTGGCGGGACGTGTCAAGAGGATCCATGTTGGGCTTACGACGTATAGCCAAGACCTTTCTCGGGGTTTCCAAAAAGATAAAGCAACAACAATCAGAAATCAAAACAGAACACCTAGAAGTGCACCATTCCCAGTCCTATGTGTCGCTCGTGAATTGTTTCGCCCAAAATGGCAACTGGACAGTGGACCTTTTGCCGAGGAAGCTTTTGGAGGCGGGTGCTGTGTGTGCGTGTGTGTGTGTGTGTGTGTCTTTAAGCTGTGTTTTTTTCTCCACAGCTCCACCAGGTGGCAGTTTGGAATGCTCATGTGCCCAGGTCATTTGGCTGTGGGTCAAAACCCTGTACCCGTGAACATAAAAATAGGTGGTACATGGGTGTTCATCCGCCCCAAATTGGAGGGATTGGTTATGATCCATGGCCATTTGTCCAAGTCTCGCTTTGGGGGGGTGAGGCGCTCAACTGCCAGGTGTGGTCTTACTTGCTGATCCTGGCGGCTGGGCGCACAGACAATTTCTGACAGACCTTGGGATTTATGAGTTCTTGAGCAGCTGAGCAGAGGTGGCCGGCTTGAAAACGCACATTGGGTTTGACAGTTGAGCTTTAGAAGCCACATGCCCCAAGGTGGCTGTGGGTTTCGGCCCTTTGCTTTGCTTGAGAGGCCATACAAATACGCCAGGATGTGCAACAGACTGTTGGTCAATGAGCAAAAGACAGCGCCAGGGAGCTGGTGATGAAGTCAAAGGCCGCAAAGATTTGCCCTTTCTGGAGTAGTGTTCTTTTTGGCTGTTTGGGCTACTTGCTACTGTCCAGGCTGCTGTGTTGGTTTTCAAGGAGATTTCCGTAGGGTTTTCGCGGTTCTGGCTTCGCTGGCCTCGAGGATGCACATCATTTGGGCGCGTCACGCGTTGTCTTACGAAATGGGCACTTCGCTGCTGAGGTGATGATGCCTGCTTGGCGATGGTGCCCCGATGGAGCTGTGTCCTTTGAACCCGTGTAAACCCAAACAGCGGCACAGAAGTGAACATTGAATCCGTCCTCACACTTGGAGCATTGCACTTCGTTGCAGGCAATGCGGGATTCCACCGCGCACACAAGTTCCGCTGGCCCAGGTACATCGTTCCGCTGGCCCACCCGCACAAGGAGGATCATCCGCAAAAGGTGGAGCACTGAACGGAGCTCAGACCTTGGCTGCTGTCCCCATGGCGTTGCGATGGATCCAATGATTCTTGTCTTTGTGCTTGTAGCTAGCTAGTTCGGGTGTAAGGCGTGCGCAGAAGGCTTCGCACAGGCATAATGCTGTTTGGACTTCATCTAAGGACTATTTGGACGGGATGAGCATCAAAAAATAATTATTTTGGGGATCAACAAAAAAATATTTAGGGGATCAAAAACAAATTATTGAGACCTAGTCTCCGGTCCCCTGCTCTCCTGGTCTCCTGGTCTCCTGGTCCTTGGTCTCCTGGTCCCCATGTGTCGTGCTGGTCCTGGTCCCTGGTCTTCTGGTGTCCTGGTCCCCGTGTCTCCTGGTCGCCTGGTCTCCTGGTCTCCTGTCTCCTGGTCTCTTGGTCTCTTGGTCTCCTGGTCTGCTGGTCTCCTGGCCTGCTCTCCTACCCGAAACCGACCCTAAACCAAACTACACCCACCCTAAACCAACCCAAAACCAACCTACAAACCAACCTTGAAACCGACCCTGCGCAACTTTTAAACCAACCCTACACCCGCCCTAAACCAACCCTAAACCAATCCTAAACCCACCCTAAACCTACCCTAAACCTACCCTCAGCCAACCTAAAACAACCCGAAACCCAACCTAAACCTACCCTAAACCAACCAAAATCCACCCACCGCAAACAAACCCAAAACCCTCCCTAAACCCACCCTAAACCCACCCTAAACAGACCCTAAACTAAACCTAAACCCACCCTAAACCAATCCTAAACCAACCCCAAACCCACCCGAAACCCCAAACCCACCCGAAACCCAACCAAAATTAACCCTAAACCAACCTTGAAACCAACCCTACACAACCTTAAGCCAACCCTAAACCCAGCCTAAACCAACCCTAAACCAACCCTAAACCTGCCCTAACCCTACCCTACACTTACCCCAAACCACCGTAAACTTAGCCTAAACCATCCCTTAACCCAACCCTAAACCAACCCTAAGCCACGTACACCGGCACTAAACCCAGCCTAAGCCCACCCGAAAACTACACTAAACAGACCCAAAACCAACCTAAGCCAACCCTAAACCCGCCCTAAACCTGCCCGAAACCAACCCTAAATTATCCCTAAAAACCCTAAACAACTTTCAAGCCCCAAACCAAACCTAAACCCACCCTAAACCAAGCCTTAGCCCAGCCTGAACCATCCCTAAACCAACCCTAAAGCAACCCTATCCAAACCTCATCCAACCCTAAACCCACCCTAAACTACTGACCTTCAACCGACCCTAAACCCTAAACCAACCCTAAACCCACCCTAAACCCGCAAACCAACCCTAAACCCACCCTAAACCTACCCGAAGCCAACCTAGAACCACCCTAAACCCAACCTAAACCAACCCTAAACCAACCCTAAACCAAGCTAAGCCAACCCCAAACCCACCTTGAAACCAACCCTACACAACCTTAAGCCAACCCTAAACCCAGCCTAAACCAACCCTAAACCAACCCTAAACCGTCCCTAAACCAAGCCTGAACCCACCCCAAACCCACCCGAAACCCAACCTACATTAACCCTACAGGCATTTAACCGATGCTAGATTCGTTGATAGAACTGCGCTTGTATCTGAAAAGTTGTGATTTTCGAACTGGAGCTGCCAAAGTGACCTTCGCGTACTGCGCTTGTATTGGAAAGTGTCTATTTTACAGCTGGAGCCGTAAAATGCGCGCGCTGTTGCCCGAAAATGATGTAAATTACAGCGCTTTGGCACCCCCAGGCGAGATAATTTGTTTTTGATCCTGTAAATAATTTGTTTTTGATCCGGGTGTCGATAATTTCTTTTTGATCCCGTAAATAATTATTTTTTGATCCTGCACCCTATTTGGACGATCCCCAGAGCTTCCCCCAATTAGCGAGGGGGCAAAGGGGTTCAAGTCATCCAGGGAGTTGACCAGCCAAGGATTAGCGTGCAAATGGCTGAGCGTCGCGTCAAGTGCTGTCATGCAGCATCGTCCGATGAAAGTTGCAAGTTCATCCGTCAGCCCGACCTTAAGTTTATCACTTTCTTTGTGTCACTGCCAAATCCCACATTTCGTGGTTGCCGGCCTTCATTGGCATGCTGAGCTGGCATTTGCGGCCTTTGCACATTGTCAGTGCTGTAGACTGCGTGAATCACGGCCTCAGTCAGGATTTTGGCTTTGCAAGAATGCATGCATGATGATTTCTCCCCTCGCGATTGGCTCAAGTGTAGAGCCGTTTGTTTTTCACCTTTTTCAGATAGTTTTCTTCCTCGCCGTCGTGCAAAACGGTGGCTGGCCTAGCTGCTCGAGTTTTTGCTCTTGAACATTGCTGTCTGCTTCCGTCCGCTTAGATATGGCACCTCAGAGACCGCGGTCGCAGGACTTTCACTCGTCTGAGAGGAGTTATTGGATTAGATTGACTCTGCCCATTTTGGACTCAGATCAGGCACTCAAGCTGAAGTGCGTTCAAAAACGCGGTCTCCTCCTAAGCCAACCGCTTGAAGTGAATGTCGCTCGAAGGATCTTGGCCGCCGCGCACTGCTGCTCGTAGTCCAGGACTAAGTTGATTGTTGTCTGGAAACGACTCGTTGGCATCGAAGAAGGGGTTTGTTTTATAGCTTGCGGTTGAGGGGGAATCAACACGAGACACACATTTGCAGTCTGCAATTTGGAGACTAGCCTGCATGCCGAGTTGAATGCTTGCTTGCTACTCTCTCAATGAGATCAGTTGCCTCAATAAGTAAGTAGTTCTGTATCTCCCATTTGCCTGGCCTTTTGGTTTGCTTTCACCCTTTTGGTTCCAGCCACGTAGCTCGAGGGCTTGGGCTCCATGCTAGCCCGTGCCATGAGAAGTGCAAGGAGCGATGCGGCTAAAGCTGACTTTTCCGGGGTAAAAGCGATTCGGCCATCTTTGCAGAGAGGGAACACCCAGCCCAAGTTGCAGAGATGGCAACTTGGCCAAGGCAGGCGGCGCCTTTTGCCTAGCCAGCGAGCAGGCCGAAGGGTACGGTTGAAGGGAGGGGAACCATGAGGCAGGTCGAAGCATGTTGGAAACCAGTGATGAAGCACGCTTCACCACAGCTGTCAGCGATTGTTCGCCATGCACTTGCGTCCATCCGCCTTTATCTTTCTGCCTCGCTCACTCCCTTAGCATCTGATTCTACATATGGAGGTCAGAAGCTTTCATTACTGGCTCTTCCAAGTGCTTGACTTCGACCTCTTCGCATGGATGCTAACAGTTCATTTGCTGAAGCGGGGAGAGGTGGGCGGTACAGTTTGATGCCAGCGCATTTCGCTAAAGGAAAGTGGCAGTTTGTGCCCGGAAAGTTGTATCCTGTAGCGAGCCACACCGAAGCCGTGACAAAGATGGCCACGGGGGTTCAGAGCCACACTTGGACGAGGACTTGATCACGGAGCAAAGCAACACAGACCAAACCAATGATGTGTGTGTTTTTGCCACATCAAGCTAATCCACTTAGATTTCCCCAAGTCAAGTGGAATTCAGCGGCATTCACGTTAGATGCATAAAATGGTTCTGTTTGGTTTGGCTTTGCGGTCGGCCTTTGGTCGTATTTTTTGGTGCATGGAAAGGAAGCATAAGATGTATCCACACGTCCAGGTCCGGCCAATGAAAGCAAGCCTGTCGGTAGGCGTGGCTCGCACCCTCCAGGCCGGGAGCCATAGGTCAAGTCTCGTTCTTGCAAGATGGAGGATACCTCCGTGTTTTGTGAACGGAGCGCTTCAAGGTCTAGCTGATCTTTGCTCAGCTGTGCGCGTTGTTCAGAAACTAATCCTCCACTTCGCTTGCCCATGACGTTTGCGACAAACTTGTGGAAGTTGACCTTTGCCGTGGCTTGCATGTGCGGCTTGCGTGCGTGTATCTTTAAACCTTTACAATGGTAACACAGCGTTCACATAGCTATGTATATGATTCAACAGCCACGGAAGCAAAGAAGGACCCCCGTCATGGTTTCCGGCAGTTTCGGCTTACAGGCTTACAGGCTTACAGGTGCACGCACTCCCTTGAGCGTGGCACCGCCTAGCGAAGTGGGGCTGATCAAGGAGCTTGGCGCCGCTGGCTTCTGGCCTCAGGCGAGAAGCAGAGAAAGGGGCTTGCCTCTGAGCGCTCAGTAGGGCAGGCCGTGACTCAAACTTGAGCCTTGGCGATATGTCCGAGACGCAGCGGAGGATGAAGACTGTGCCGTAGTGACAGCTGACGTCTGACGTCTGCAGGGAGCTCCAGCCAAGTCTGCGGCAAGCTACAAGCAGGCTGCCAAGAGGCAAAAGAAAGGCCCGACATAAAAACACTTGTGCGTTCTCAGTTTTTGTCGCTTCTGTTGCGTCCTCAGCTTCCAACGTTGGGTCGTCTCTGGCTGCTGTGCCTGACCCGTCCCCAAGCGTCTAGCAAGGCAAGAAGAAGAAAGGAAGAAGGAAGAAGAAGAAGAAGAAGAAGAAGAAGAGAAAAGGGGCGCGCTGCTGACCTGCGTGCTTCAACTTGGCCCGCGCGAGGCTATTAGGTCAAGCGGCGGGCTGCGCCCTTCAGCTGGTGAAGTCGGTAGAGATGCTGGCGTGCGCCTTCAAGGCCCAGCAGCTTCAGGAGAAGGTAGTTGAAAGGGCAAGGGGAAGGGTCCGCGGAGAGCATTCTGTTTTTTCCTCGGCCTGCGGCCTGTAATTCGTCAACAAACGCCCGTATGCCCGCTCGCGCTCCCAGTGCTCCCAGATCGCTGGGCCACACGCTCGCCAGCGTACGGAATAATAACTGACAATCCGCAGTTTCGCCAAGAAGGCCCGGACTGCCTCCCTGCGGGAAAAGCTGAGGAGGCGGAGTTGGATGATTTCGCTTTTTTGCTGGGCCTGTCGCGCGCATTGTTTATGACATGACGGGGCGCAGAGCACCCAAGGAGCCTCGGCGTATAAATCTACACGCGTCTCCCAACTGTTAAGACACACCATCTATGTACAGCTTGTAGTACATGTGGCAACCGCTACATGTCTGGCACAAGGCCTTGAGCCTAGCCCATGCCCGAGATACAAAGGTTACAACTGTGCCGAGTCGTTCACATCACAGGTTAACTCATTCACACTAAGACTACAACAGGGTTACACAGCGCAGCCTGACTTTAACATGGTAGCGGAGCAGCGATCCCTGGCACACAATCCTCGACCACTACCCAGGGTGAGCTCCAACACGCACCCGCAAGCCAGGTACACAGTAGTGAGCAACGTGCCGCAACAACAGCAACAGCAACAGCAACAGGAGCAGCAGCTGGAAGGAATCCACAAGTGCAAGATATCACCACCACGGTTCAGAGGAGAATACAACACCTTCGAGGAATGAAAACCCAAGATGACAGCATACTTGAACAACGGAGAACGCAGCACCTTCAGTCACACAACGGAGACAAATGGCAGAGCACTGGATACGACTGAGCAACAACCTACACTACCTCTTGGTGAGCACATGCGATGGACCAGCGTCTACAGTATACATGCAAGGCAACGGTTTCGAGACATGGCGACAGACCCATGCCAGGTATTTAGTACAAGAAGCATTGGGTGCCTCACACGGCTACTAAAACCACAACTGGATGAACAGAAGTTCGAAGAGAGCTTTGCAACACGGGGGTCCCAACTCTCCAAGTATGAACAAGACAACAACACACTACTACCAGATTTAGTCAAGATTGCAATATTGCTCAATGAAACAAGATGGACCACTACAACAACACCTACAGCTTCAAGAAGGAACATCACAACATATGCGCAGATCAGACCGATGGTGATCGAGTACTATACAGAGCAACAGCATCATTCACCAGGCTGCAAGCAATTACATCAGGCAACAACAGCCAAGGACCGGCGCCGATGGACATAGGAGCAACATGGTACAAAAAGGCAAAGGAAAGAAGGGCAAGCGCAAGGAAAGCGCAACAAGGGCAAAGGACACAACAGCTACGGGAACAACTACAGCTACAACAACTACAATGGAGGAAAAAAGGCAAGCACAATCAACAACCGGTTGGACAAGGAAACCCTTTCAAATGACAACAAGGATATGGCAAAGGAACAGGATACAGCAACAAAGGAAAAGGCAAAGGGTACTACAACAACCAACAAGGAGGAAAAGGAGCAAAAGGAAAGCGTGCGACAAATGTTTACTACAGATGTGGGTATCCAGGACACATGGCTAAACAGCGCAGAGAGGCGATCTATAGCTGCGACACTGGAACCTTCGATGCCAATGACCAGACAGATGACTGGTACAGTCAGGCAACCCTTACAGGCAGCAGATCCATCAACAGTACCCATCTCAGGATTACACGACGTAACAATTGCCATGATTGGCACAGCGCAGCAACTCACAGAAGAAAGAGAGCCAGTCTTATGATTGACAGCGGTGCGGCTACACATGTATGCCCACCATGGTTTGCACCACAATTCCCACTACACCAACTGGAACATGGAACAGGAACACAGCTCAGAACAGTGACCAACCAACACATCAAGCTTTTCGGGCACAGATGGGTTTCCATGACAAACCGCAGCGGACAACAAATTGTCATACCGTTTTACGTTTGCGAGGTTAAGCAGACGGTTCTTCCAGTTACAAGGCTGGTGGAACAAGGTTTCCAACTTACATTGGATGACAATCCAAGGTTCTTCCCACAAGCAGAAATCACAACATTGCCAAAAGGAACAAAGCTACAAATACACAGCGCAGAACAAGGACAGATTGGCATGATGGCACCGACCACAACGCTTACACCACAAGGTCCTGCAGACACAGGATACGCAGGATACTCGAACTTGTCAGAGTACACAGGCAACACAGGAAGACACTCTTCAAGAACACAGTGTCCAGTCCCAGCAAAACAACTTGAGGACTACAGGAGAACAACCATCAGATTCAAGGATGGTACAACGAACACGTTTGAGGACAAGCGCCAAACAATGGAAGAGCCAAACAAAGCGCAACAGCAAATGTGGAAAGGAGAAGCAGCATTCAGGATCAAGAAAGGCACAACATTGCCAGAGACACTACAGCAACAGTTTGCAACAAAGACACAGCCAAAGAGCGCGCCACAGAAGGTCACACCGCAAGTAAGGCACGATTGAGAGGGAAAACAACACCACCAACAATACAGGACACAGCAGCACCACACACCGCCACAGGTGCAGCTGGACATGGACTACCGCATCCTTCAGAAGTACATCCTGGAGAGAACACTGGTACAGAGAAGGCCCATACTGGAAGAGAGTACACGTCAAGCCTCGAACAGCGTTTTATACCAGAGCAGACGCACGACGGGCCAGACATCAAGCGACTCATACCTTGGAGACAGACCAAGGTACAACCTTGGTAGAAGATGAATGGACAACACAGCCAGCTAAAACATCAGACAAGCCCTGGACAGGCTGGACAAACTTTGAGGAACATCAGGAGTTTCCTCACAATTCGAACCAGCCCAAGCACCCAAGCACAGGAGATACTCGAGCGCAACGTGACACACCTTCCTTACAGGAGTGGTGTCCAACACGCGCGCAGGCAAGAGGCAGACAGAACAATCACCCAAAGCAGCACAGCAAGCTTCGAATCATACAGCTTGACTTCGGCTACATCAAAGGCTTTGATGACAGCAACGTACATCCGATTCTCACAGCAATTGACACTACAACAGAGACGTTTCAATGAAACATCCACTCATGCATTGGATAGGTCGACGCAGTGCACACATCATGAACAGGTATGCAGTCCACAGCAATGGATGCACAAGCTACTTCAATAGATGGAACAGAGAGCAACACACACCACTTTGTGAGTTTGGTGAGACAGTGCAACACATGCTACCAACAGTGAAACAGTTTCCAAAACTCGAGCCAAGATTCTACAATGGAATCTGGCTTGGCAAGGATACAACCACAGGTGAATCATTTTTTGGGATCTACAACAGGATTGTCAGAGCAAGGACAATCAGAAGGCAGATAATGCCTCACAAATACGACCAGCAGAAACTGGACCGTGTGAACACATGTCCCTGGAAGACACCAGCATCAGCGCTGCGTACACCGACTCTCGCAACACAACTGACAATGCCAGCTACAAGTAAAGCGCCGCCGTCACAGAAGGATGCGACAACAAGCGCAGCAGCAGAAGGCAAGAGACAGAGCGCGTCGCAAGCGAGTGATCAGCAGACAAAGCAAAAGAAGACGGCCGAGCCAACATCACCAATGGCTACATCACCGACACATCAGAAGCGACTGGCATTGCCAGCGCCGCCGCCTACATCACTCACCAGAGAAAGAGATGACGCAGTAGCAGAAGGCAGCGCAGGCAAGCAACAGCGAACCACAGCAGAGAGACAAGCGCTCGAGCGGCCTACAACAACCGAACAACCAAAAGGAAAGATGAGAATCAATGCCATCAAGTTTACAACAAAGGATGGTAAACAAATGGAGACCACATCAAATGAGGACATACGAGAAATCGAGAACGAGAAATCGAGAACGAGAAAATCCTACTGGAGCCGATCATACATGACACAGAAGACTTGGATCCACAACAGGTCGCGCAAGGCATGAAGAAAGAAGTACAACAAATGAAAGACCAATCAGTCTTCACAGAGACTGATGGCCACACAACGACACCAGAACAACAAGCAAACGTCATCGAATCGAGATGGGTTCTCAAACAAAAACACAACGAAGCACGAGCGCGCAGAACCCGTCACAGACCACGACCTACCCTTCGCAAGCACACCGCTGTTTTGCATACTGAGAGTACTTCTCACAATGGGATTGGTTTACAACTGGTCGGTCTGTACAGGAGATGTAAGTGTTGCATTTCTACATTACATGCAGCAGCAATCTCATACAACTTGGTAATGCGACCACCCACGAGTTCTGCAAGGAAGAAAACAGACACAAAATGTGGCGGCTAAACAAAGCCGTCTATGGCTTGAGATCATCACCAAAACAATGGCAAGACCGCATTGCACAAATTCTCACAGTCGCACTTGAACTTGTGAGATGCGCAACAGAAAGCAATGTCGACAGATCGATCTGTAGACACTGCCTAGTCTACATCATGATCAATCTAGACGATCTCCGTTTCATCATCGACACCTTGTTTAGCAGAACGCAAAAGGAAGTCCTGCTGAGACACACAGGCGACCTAACAGTGGGATCAACAATGCGTTTCCTTGGCAGGAACATCTCGCACAAAGGCAACTGCACCGACATCAGCTTGAACAACAACTATGTTGACATCATCATGGAAGAGTCAGGATGACTACATGCAACCCAGCACCATCACCAGGAGTGTCACGCATGAAGGCTACAACAGAAGATGCGCCACTTGACCACGAGCAACACAAGCAACACAGGCGGCTTGTTGGCAAGATACAATGGCTAACATACACACGACCAGACATCAGCTAGCAAGATCATTGCAAGCACCAACACAATTTGACAACAAGAAGCTCGCCAGGCGCCTCAAAGGAACAAGGTACATGAGACACAACCTGCCAACTGACTGGGCGTCGCGCGAGACAACAGGGAAGAGCGCGACAAGATTTGTGACTTTTTGGAACAGCAGTACACTATGGGAGCAGAACCAGTCTCATGGATTGCCTCGGCTATATCAGTTGGTTGATACATGAGGGTTTGGACAACACGGCCAACATGAGCGCATTCTTTGTGTACAAGGACAAGCTACAGACAGATGAGCTGTTTCAGAAGGTGTACGAGAAGAAGATTACAGTGTTCAACAGGGGTTACATTGGACAAGTTTTGCAGTTACATCAGGAGTGTACAAGCATCGGGTTTGTTCTACAAGGTGACAGGCCACATCACAAACCTCTACATCGAACTACAACCTGACCAAGAACTACGTGATCCTACAGCGCATCGTCATTCCAGCACAGATGGTTTTGGACACAGAGGACGCACTTGATCGAGTACATGATGGGTTTTCGATGGCCTTGAGCTATCGCACCTACCCTGCGACACAGGCTATCAGTGAGCCATTGAAGACATGAGTCGTTGAGCGCATGGTGCAGCGTGGCATACACTTGTATGGCAACAACATGGCGTTGATTCCTGGACAAGTTGGTTACAGCGACCAGCAACTGCAAGAAGTGGACAGTGCAGTTATCCTTGCGCAACAGGAAGGATACAGGTTGCTGAACAAGAAGAAGATTACAGGCGAAGGAGCTTGATGGGTACATCAAAGTACATGCCTACGAAGGCACGCCGCATTTCATGGCACATTTGAACCGGCAGCTAGGGACATCGTTGTCTTACATCATCCCGATCCACAAGGTCACTTGTGCATTTTGCAAAGTATGCTGACCCCAGCGCAATTTGAGAGGGGGTGTTAAGAAGGCCCGGACTGCCTCCCTGCAGGAAAAGCTGAGGAGGCGGAGTTGGATGATTTCGCTTTTTTGCTGGGCCATGTCTGGCACAAGGCCTTGAGCCTAGCCCATGCCCGAGATACAAAAGGTTACAACTGTGCCGAGTCGTTCGCATCACAGGTTAACCCCTTCACACTACAACAGGGTTACACCGTGCAGTCTGGCTTTAACACCAACGCGTATCTATCTATATACACAGATTCTTGCATGCGTGTGTGTATACATACTTACGCACATACATATAGTCTCACAGAGATTTGGCGCACGTGCAAGCGCTCGATTTCTCTTGGGGGTAGGTTTGGGGGAACTGAAACCTGAATGCGAGCCGCCCCCCGTTTCAAGTTGAGGCGCGCTGCGGCTGCTGCAGTGGCACCGAAGCCAAGCCGAACTGCAAATCAGCGCAGTGATCAGCCGTGATGGGAAAGCAACAGAAAAAGACAAGTCTTCCAAAAGAATTTGCGAAACGGTTTCCAAGCCCCTTTCGTTCTCTGCGCTGGTTACCCAATCCCAAAATCACACCCAGGGCTCTTCGCGTGGCTTTGTTGGAGTGGTTGACCAGAAATTAGGGCCATGTGCACGAGACGTCGTATCACAAACCGTTTCCGAGTGACTGTTTTCACGTGCTTGGTCAGCGTGGCGCAGGCTTGTGATGCAAATACCACGCGAAAGAAGCGAGAGGAAAGAAAACACAACAACAAGAAAACAAGAAAACAAGAAAACGCAGTTCAAGAAAGAAACAGAAGGAAGGAAGGAAGGAAGGAAGGAAGGAAGGAAGGAAGGAAGGAAGGAAGGAAGGAAGGAAGGAAGGAAGGAAGGAAGGAAGGACGGACAGAAGGACGGACAGAAGGTAGGAAGGAGGGAGGGAGGGAGGGAGGGAGGGAGGGAGGGAGGGAGGGAGGGAGAGAGAGAGGGAGAGAGGGAGAGAGGGAGAGACGGAGGGAGGGAAGGCAGGAAGGCAGGAAATAATAACAACAAGGAAGAAAGCAAAAAATAATGAGCAAACAAAATAAAGGATGAAAGAAAGCACGGCAAGAATAAATGAAGGAAGAGCGAGCGAGAGAGAGAGAGAGAGAGAAAGACCTTGCGCACCTTGGAATGTAGTAGCTGCATCGGGACAAATCTGTGGTGAAAACTACACACACTGCCAGTGACAAAATATGGCGACAATCATAAAGTGGGCTAAGTGGGCTAGTTGCCATCCTCAAAAGTCAGTTAAGCAAAAATTAGCCGGGGAGCAGCGGTAGATGCAGGTACGGGATTGCGGGCCTTCGCAGATTTAAGCTGCAGTCAAAGCCTGGGATGAACAGGCGTAGCAAAGTGCCATCCCAGGCCACTCTTGCATCCGTTGAATATATTGGTCGGGGTAGACCTTTGGATTTTTGGGTTTTGACCATGCTGAGGTTGCAGGCTTTGCGCAGCCTGCCCTGGCCCAGGGCGGCAGCGTCTTCGGAGACTTCGCCCTTCGGCCCCGTTTGGGTCCGTTTGGGTGGCGTGCAAGCGCAAAGCAGCGGCCCCATGGATTTCCAATTCCAACACGGGGGCTGCGGGAAGGATGTGTGCGCCGTTGAGCTTGCTGCTTCTGACACGTTGTTGTTGGTTGCCATGCTGTTTCTTTATGGTGGTTCCAGTTTCAGAGAAGGCACTCCTAGTGAAGGAAGAAGGGCACAGAGACAGACGACAACTCTGTGCGAAGTCAAGCCTCTTCCTGCGCAAGCCAAGGATGGCATCAAAGCTGGGCCTGCGGCGGGTTGCCTCAGTCTATTGCAGTCCTGCGATTGGGGCAGACTGCCGGTGGATTGTGATAGTTTGGGCTGTGCGGGGCTGTGTTCCGACGCTTTTCAGGCCGCCTGACCAGCGCTTTTCTCACTTTAAGGGTAAGTTCGAGAGGTCGCCCTTTGGTCGCCCACCTTGTCCCCACGGGGCACCACAGTTGAAGAGCTTCATGAGATCAGATGCAGCGCTTCTGATGTTTGCCATTGACCACGAACTGTCACCTGGTACTATTGCAAATGAATACTGGACCAAAAGGTGCTACTGCACATAACAGTTACTGGTTCCTGGTACTGTAACCAAACCGCATTCGTCGTGCTGCTGCCTTGGTTCAAGTGCTCCTCGGCTCCCGGAGTGCGTGCCGTCGTTGCGCTATGCCCAGCTCCCGGTTACGAGTTCGGGAATGAGCTCCGAAGCCACGAGCGATCGGACCTCGAATGGAAGTGACCGTCTCGCCTCCTCAGGTTTTCCAAACCGGAGTGGACATTTGGCTTCTGAGAGGTATCCCGCGAGGGATGCGAGAAGATGAGTTGGTACGATTTTTGCAGACGTTGGGTTTTCCAAAGCCGACTTTCTGGCAGCTTTGGCTTTCAATTTGGCCTGCGCGTTTTGTGCTGCCTTGCTGCTCGTGCGGTACTCATGTCCTCTATCACAGCTTGATGTGGTTATGATGTTATGATCGTTAATGCGGAAACGCCATGAAACATGGCAAGGATGGACAAGCATGGCTGGCAACTTTGTTTCATTTTAGATGTTGTGCGTTGGATTGATGTTAAATTTGATCTTTGAGATGTTGCCCGCGGGCTTGGGGCGTGGCTTTAGATGTTGTCCGTGAGCTTAGGCTGTTTTGTTTTGAATTGTTCTTTGTGGTGTTGTTGATCTTCGAGATGTTGTCTCTGGCAGTCTAGGAGTACGGGTGTTTTCTCCGTTGTTTTGTGGGCTTGGGCTGTTTGCATTTTAGTTGTTGTCCACGGGCTTGGTGTTTTTGACCTCCTCCAAGGGGGTGGGGGCCATGAGGGTGTTGGGCTGTGCGCGACAGTGCAAGGCTTTCGTAACACAAAAGAACAGACCCCTGGAAGGTGAAATGCACCCAGCCCACAAACAACATCTACAGAAAAGCAAGTACCCCTGTGCCCGCGGACAACAGGTTCAAAATCACGAACACCAGCCCACGAAAGAACAACTAGAATACAACCACCTCAAGCCTTCCACGAAAACACACCCCACGGCTCCCTAGATCCTCCGAATCTTCGCGCCTCCAGTGCCAAGACCAAACCCAAGCGCCCAGGGCCAGTTCAGATGGACCCTCAGCCAACCCTAACCCCCCCCACCATTCCACACAAGGAGGGTGTGGGGCCGCGTGGACCAGTTATGAATCCCGTGTCAGTGATGCTCAAAGGGTCCCTCATGGATGTGAGTGTTGCTGACAGGCAGCTCCAAATCCGAGGTATGTGCCAAGCATACGGAAGACTTATCAGGAAAACCGCGGAGGCTTTGCCGCAAAAGAGGGGTTGCCGGTCCTGTGAGTGCGGGGCAACGGACAAACTCAAGCTGCGTGCTTCCATTCCCCAAGAGAGTGCTCGAGTGCTTTGCCTGTAGTTGGATTCGATAGTTTGTTTGAGCTATTCACCCCAGAGTGTCTTGTGTTGGAGGCAGCGTAGAGGAATTGCATGGCGCGGTTGTGGTTTGAAGGCCTGTGATGGATTCTTCAATCTGAGGTGGGTTTGCACTTGGGGAACTAGATCAGTCGCGTATTGCACCATAAGAGACGATTTGAAGCCAACAACGGCTTTAACTTTTACATATCCTTGAGGGTTTCCAGAACTTGGGGACTTCCTTGTGGGAAATTTCAATCAACCAGCGGGGATCCCCATGCCACGTTTACACGATGCGAAGCGAGGCACCCCTGGCCTCCAAAAGCCTATGGGAAGAAGTTGACGTTCGCAACTCACGGGTTTTTGTGTTCAATTTTGTTCAATGCTCTTGTGACTTTTTGAGCCCCAGACGCCATGCGTCTCTGCAGAGTTTCCCGGGCCCATGTCTTTGCATGCCAAGGGTATGCCTTCGTGGGCTACGATCCGCAAACCCTGTACACGGTTTCGCAGCTTCTTCATTGCCGTCCCGGGCACCAATTTCGCCTTGAGCGCAGCACTGCTCCTCGGATCACACCTGAAGACGTCCATACATCGCATCGGGGGGGCACATGCCCTCTTTAGTCTTGGGAAGTCCTGATCTGTTGATCTTGCTTTTGCCTGCTTGATCAGCCAGACTTGATGAAGCTTCGAAGCGGGCAATTGTGTTGATCCTTCAAACCGTAGTCGACGTAGTCGCACCGAATGGTGATGTCCACAGACCCTGGCAGCCTATTGTGAGGCCGCTTCTGGTTTGAAGCTGACTCGTGCATCGCTTTGCTCGATGTTGCGTAGCCAGACATGCTCGACACGTTTTGGGACGGTACACTTTGCACTCTCGACAGGGGTGCAGTCGTTGTTGCATGCTGTGGGTTTTCCTGTTGGGGTACAGGGGGTTGTCTCCAAACATGCTGTGGTGTCCCGTTCAATTCGGCAAGTCTCCTTGTATGACTGCCATAGGGGACAAGGGCTGTGCTGGCACGTGAGCAGCACTGCTGATGCCCCTCCTATCTCATATGGTGCGGGTGGCTTGAGGGGGAAGAAGAATGAAGCCGCATAAAATTGCTCACTGGTTCGGAATTGCAAGAAGACTAATCCATGCCTGCCCACGTCCACTCCATGTTCTTTTGGAAGAGCATATTGAAGTTCTGGGAGTTGCAACTGCAGGGACACGGGCAGGCTTGATTCTGGGCCTTTGAGATTTTGGCCTGTTGCGCCGCGTTGAATGCCAAGCAGCCGTGATACACACTTTGAGGGTATGCCTTTCGGCTCTCCAAGGTTCCAGATGTGCTGAGATGCTGAGACATGTGCAACTCGCTGAGGCCATCAGCGAGCAGATGGTCAACAACGCAATGCTTTGGGATAACATTCCCGCTTCTGTTACCTTGCTGCAAAGGTATATAAGAGTTCCGCTTTCTCTCTCCCTCTCTCTTTCTTGTCTTTTTTTCTTTCTCTCTCTCTCTCTCTCTGTTTCTCTTTCACGCTATTCCGGCGTGGCACCAAGTCTGCCTCCCTAAGCATGACGATGGCTCTGCCAGCACTTCAACAAACGCACGCACACACACACACACACACACCTGCACCCGCACTCGCACAAGCACAAGCAGACGCACACGCCACCGCCCACGCCCGCGCCCGCGCCCGCGCCCGCGCCCAGCGCCCGGCCGCCCACGGCCCGAACGACGCACCGCCAGCCGCGCTGCGGCTGCCCGCACGCCCACACGTGCACATGCCCACCCGCCCACATGCCGACCCATGCACGCGCACACCACGTGCCCCCACGCACCCGCACACCCGCGCACCCGCGCACCCGCACGCACGCACGCACCTTCGCACGCACGCACCCACGTACCTACGCACCCACGCACCCACCACCCGCGCACCCGCGCACCCACGCACTCGCGCGCTCACGCACCCACGCACCACCCACGCACTCGCGCACGCGCACCCACGCACCCACACACCCAGACACAGACACAGAGACACAGAGACACAGAGACACAGAGAGACAGAGACACAGAGACACAGACACACACAGACACACACAGACACACACAGACACACACAGACACACACACAGACACACACAGACACACACAGACACACACACACAGACACACACAGACACACACAGACACACACAGACACACACAGACACACACAGACACACACAGACACACACAGACCCACACAGACACACACAGACACACACAG